TCGCACCTGCGAAAAACCATTAGTCACCCACCAAGAAAACGTCCCTGGGTGATCCAAACCCGGCAGGAAAAGAGGGTTGTTAATAATTGGGAGCAAAGGCAGAAAAGGTGACATCAGGCCACCAGAATAACGTACCGAGTCCCAAACTTGTAGGCCATGAAGTAACATCGGACTCAGTGCCATAGGGCGCAGGGCAGGGGGAAGCCATAGAAGCGTCGACAGTGCGATAGGGGCACAATTAAGTAGTTCCAACAGGACCCAGAGGGGGACGTCGGAAGAGGCGTGCAACATAGACAGCGGGGCAATCTGGCTCGCTTGATAATACTTAGTCACATTAGGCACCCCAAGACCACCCTGAAGTCTATGGGCAAAAAGCGTACTTTTGGATACTCTGGGGTGCTTATCGGCCCAGATAAAACGCATTAACTTCGCCTGAAGCAACCGAAGAAAATGAGGGGGAACCCGCATCGGGAGTGTGCGAAAATAATACAACAATTTCGGCAAGATGGTCATTTTCACCGAATTAACCCATCCTATCCAAGACAGGTGCGGAAATTGCCAAGAATGCATAAGAGAGGATAGAGAGCTAAGCAATGGATAATAATTCGCAGCAAAAAAGGAGTCATAAGTGGGGGTCAAGCGAATGCCTAAGTATTCAAGAGAAGAGGAAGTCTGATTCCCTTTTAATCCTGCATATATTTAAATCTCTGCCAGTGGTAAGTGCAGGGTGGAAGGCCAGTAAAAATTCTCTGCCCAGGATGCCAAGCTCAATACACTTGCAGTGTAGGAGCACCTTCTGTGACTACAGGCTAGTAGTTTCTCTGGGGACCACAACCATGGTGCAGGTCTCCGAGTGCCCCTGCACAGACTCTCCAAGGCCCCCGCGGCCATAGGAGCAGCCACCCATTGTGCCTGTTCTGCTTCATTCTCAATTTATTTACTGGGTTTGTGCATGCTGCCCCTTTTTTTTTATGGATGTGCCTCCAAAGTGGCAACATATCCCAGTCCATCATACCTGGTGGGGCACAGCATTCAACTATACTAAATGAGTGTTCAGCTTCTTACAGTGCTTGGAACTAGAGGCCTTCCACTCCCTCTTCACTGCAGAAGAGTTCATAAGTATCCCTCTGGAGACACTTTACACTGCATATGGCAGATCCCAAATGCAAGGGAAGTATGGCCTTGTTGGTTCAGGCTCCCAAGGAAGTGGTAGGCTTTCTCCACGAAGTACCCTCAGTGTGGACAATTGTACCCAGTCTGATTCCCTGACTCCCTCCCCTGACACCTTAATTAATTTTTTATGAGGAAAGGAATTTTCTTCCATACTGAATTCAATGGCAAAATTTGGGGCCTTATGGAGGCGATTGATACCGGGATCACAAGTGGCCACCTTCAGTCTCCCCTCCTGAGTCAGTTTTTGACTTTGCCCTTAAGGCAGACATACTTCCAGAGGAGGTGGTAGGTGAGGAAGATTACTGCTCTCCAGAGAAATTGGATCAACTGATATTTCATCCAAACTTAAGGATACCATAGCAACCCTTATTGTTATTGAGTCTGCTCACCCCAGGGTCTCCAGTATAGGGCCCCTAAAATTGCTGAAACCCAGTTCATTCATTTGTAGAACCTGTCCTATATGAGGACAGACCTCTCCCAGAGAAGATTCATACTCTGCCACTCCATTCACTCCACCTTTTTGCACAGTAATATCCTATTGAGGAAAGTTTTCTTTCAAAGTGGACCATTCCTCTACAGCCCTTGTAGAAGATAATGAAGTATTCAAAGTCCAAGTGAGCAACAGTTGGAGGCCCTCTTCTGCTTAGCAAGCCCCACTATGCAACTTGCTAAGCTACAGTGTGAAAGGCTTTGTGAACACACTTTGTCAAATATCCAGGATGAATCATCTCTCCATTCACATGCACAGGATCCTTTGGCTTAAATGCTGGTCAGCAAAACTCACATGTAGGAAAAGCATTGAATGGCTGCCTTTTGAAGGCGAACACCTATTTGGCCCTTCCTTGCATAAGGATATCAAGAGGGTCACAGGGGGTAAGAATACTCTCTTCCCCCAGGGGGTAAGATTACTCCACTTCTCTAGATAAAGGAGAGTTGTGATTTTAAAAGTAGGCCTTCTACTCCCAGGCTTATGAAAGGTTTCTCTCAATTCTCCAGCTTCAGATCTAAGCCAGAAACCTTCGTTTGTACAAAGGGGTGGCCTTCCAACCCAGACAAGTCTGGTTCCTAACACTCTTCCCAATGATGGGGTGCCCCCTCTTATCAGAGGCCAGGGTGGAAGGCCAGTTTGGACCCAGAAGGCCAGAGTGTAATTTCCAGGAGGTACAAGCTAGAGTTTCAAACTCTTCCTCCTCCCTACTTTATACTTTCAAACTTGTCTCTCTCCAGCCCATTTTAGACTCCAGACTTGTACTATGGGTTCAGACGTTCTGTTTGGGAAACTGTCAGGCCGATAATTGCCTCCCTCTTTCTCAGAGACTTTCTTGCTTCAGTAGATATTCAGACATTCTGCCTACTGCACATACCAATCTTTTCCCACCATCAACACTACCTGCAGCATACTCTTCCATTTAGTCTGTCCATGGCCTCAGGGTTTTCACCATGGTGCTTGCCCCCCATCTAATCTCTGCACCATGCTCAAGGGATGCATGTATGGGTTGCCTAGACATTCTCCTGTTGAAAGATCAGACCCCCATATTTCTGTCAGCCAATGCCAAGTGGACACTGCAAATTCTGCAGAGCTTCAGTTAGAACCTTAAGTCTTTGCTGGAACCCTCTTATGGATTAGAGTATTTGGGTTTGATGCCCTGTCCAAGATCTTTCTGCCTCATGACAAACTTCTGTCCCTCTGCCTTGATGCCTGGCCATCACTTCCTGCTTGCATAAGTGGCTTGGGTCTAAAGGTTGCATCTTTCGAGGCTGTACCATACGCCCACTTTCACTGCAGACTGTTGCAACACAACATTCTGGCAGGGTGGGACAAATAAATGTCATCCCATGGCATGATGTACAAGGCCAGACTCTCCTTTGCATGGTGTATTTCCAACCTGACACTGGTGGAGTTGGAGAAGCTCTTTTTTTCAAGATATGGAAAGTCCCTATGACAGTTGCCAGCCCATCTAGGAGGATTCTGGATGCCCTCTCGGCATTGGTCATCTGAGGAAGCCGGTCTTCCCATAGACGTCCTAGAGCTAAAGGGGATTTGGTTTTCCCTTCAAAACTGGACCCTCAACTGTGAAGGCAGCCGATGACAATTTAGTCAGAGTGCCATGACCTCGGCCTACATAAACCATCAAGGGGGCAACAGAAATTGCGCTGCATCTCTCACGCTGTACAGTCTTTTTTATCTGTGGAACTTTAAACTTGGGTCTTTTGGCTCTTCAAAATCTGCCCTTTTGAAGATATTCCTTTATCTGACCTAACTCACTAGGTGACATTTCTCATTACTATCACATCTTCGCAAAGGGTCTCTTAGCTACTGGCCTTATTCTGTAAAAAGCTTTTTCTATTTCAACACAAGGATAAAGTTGTTGTCCTGAGGTCTAAAACCTTTTGGTAATCAGATTCTCAATATGTTCTTCTAAAAGAACCTTGTAAGGGGCTTCCTGCTTCACACCTTGTCAGGTTAATTAGACAATGATAGTGTTCCTCCCTTCCCTGTTAAGGCGCACACTACCAAATCTGTTAGTGTTTCATGGCCTTTTCAGCATCAAGCATCTTTTTCCCAGATTTTCAAGGTTTCCTCCTGGTCTTCTGTTCTCACATTTTAAGTTTTACCAGGTGGATATCCAGGCCTTTACCGATTCTAGTTTTGGGTGTAAGGTGCTGCCAATGCAGTTCATGCAGAACAAACCGAGAGAGACCGTGCTTTGCTCTATGGGCGGCTGGGTGTAAACAAAGTCTGTTTACACCTGGATACCTCTGGCCAGGTCCGCCAAAACAGATGAGGACTCAGTTCTCAATGTCTTTTTTTTTTTTTTTTTTTTTTTTTTTAGCAGACCCGATTGGAACAAGAGGTAGGCAGGTGTGTAAGTCCGCCTGTCCAAAGATAAGCATGGAACTTCCAATCGAGTCCACCTGAAAAACTGGCAGGAGGACCTGATTGGAACACCTGTATGAATGAGGCCTTATGTGAGCCTGTTGGCTTTGTTTGCTGTGTTGCCCACCACTGAGTTGGACTGTTTTGGACATCGCATGGTCACGACTAAAGATTCTGGACCTGTACCATGCAACTAAGAAAATCCTGTTTTTCTATTGGTTTCTTTCAATTTGTGTATGCTGTCTATTTTGTGTTTTGACACTTTTTTGTCCTTGGTATAAAGTAGATATCTAGTATCTGCCGTTCCAGTCAGAGAGAAATCAGTATAGACTGATTAAAAGGACACAGTCATACAATAGTTATGGGATCTAAAAACGTATATATTTGCTATCGGGACAAAATTATTGCTGAAAGAATATGGATGTTGCTATGTTTTTAAAGATGCTAGTTGCATGGCTGTCTCTAGCTTTATTCATTTCAGACACTTATCAGGAATAAGCATGAAGTTCAGTCAGAGGGCAGTGCTTCTAATCTTTACATGTGTTCCACAGTAAAACCATTGGATTAACATGATAGCTGGGGAACTAGTATTTACAGAAAAGAAGACAGCCGTAGCAGGTTTACCAATACAGATTTTCTTTAAAATCTACATACACCTAGAATGTAGAACCCATTGGAGTTTACTGAAAAGGCTGGGAGCCAACACATTTGAAGTAATGTTCCATACTGTAAACACTGCTATATCAAAATGTGTTTTTTGTGGCAAGGGACAAAATGAATGCTACAGTAAGCTAAAACCAACTTAAGAATTAATATAAATTACAAAACAAAAACAGCTAATGCCTTCTGAAATGGATCATTCCCATGATGTAGCCCTGGTCTTTAAGCACTGTATTAGTTTGGATGTGACTGATACTGTTAGTATTTACTGATTTGTCTGTTTTCCTAGGTATCTGTGGTGAATGAGCTAAAAAGCTGGTGTTTACTGAAAATACAGAACCTGGAGTTGAAGCTTTCTGGAGATTCCAGACCTTTTAAAGCCAAATCCTCTCCTTCAACGTGCGATTCAACAGATCAGCCAGTTTCAGAGAGTCCAAACAGCAGCAAGGACTGCAACAGCACAGACATTTCCATCCCACTACAGACCTCCATTCAACATTCATTTGTCACTCGGCAGAGCAGTTTACCTGATGAGCTTTCCAAAGAACTTCCATCTGAAGAAATCAGCAGACAACACCAGATTCCACCCCCTCAAGATCTCATGGTGTGTGCATGTAAGTCAACTACATTATTCACATGATGATGCAAGCAATTAAAGGGGCATATGATTAAGGACTTGTAATGTATGATCGGATTTCCAAACAATCTGGGGAAAAATAAAGTTAAAAGACTAGATTGTTGTAAGACAATGTTGGGACACTACAGTGGAGGCCTAACAAACTGGGCCCAAAAGATATATAAAACTTCACTGTAACCTATTGCAGTGCTAGATATGTTTTTCTAGCACGTTAAAGTTTGAATAATCAGCACATGTCCCTGTTAAGAAATGTGTAATACTACAACTTTAAATGCTCTTTTCAATAAATCAGTGTTCAGCCATTGTGTAGTGACTCTTAGAAATATGTTTTTCTCTAGTCAGTGGTCCCCTTTTGTTGCTGTGCACATAGGCATTGATTGCAGGTAAGCTCACCATAGACATCAGATGGCATTTTGAAAATGATTCATCCTCCACAATCATTCCACCACCCAGTAGTCACACATATTAAAGCTTCCAGGATCTAATTATTTGTGTGTACTGTATGTACAAATGTAGCCCCATATGTTCTCAGCCTTACTATAGTATATAAATATACAGCAGGTATGTAAAAAATCTGGTAGGGCATTTTTCCATAATCCTCTTCAGGGTCCACATACCTTTTTGAAGCAGTGCTACAAGGTTTTTATTCCCTACAGATAAACTGATATGTTAATGGTGTGACAATGGATTGTTACTTTACTTTTTAAAAGATTTTTATTGAGTTAAAAAAAATATGTAAAAGAGCACAAAACCATAACAGTTGCTTGCAGTAATATTTTTACAATCTCAACCAAGATAATACCCAGTTATAAGGCAGAGTGCAAGTTAAATATATTGGGTTGCCTATTCCGTAGAGCTAATGTTAGTATGCATTGGGCAGTTGTGCTGTTGATTGTATTGCTTATGACTTATGGTTGGTGTCAGAGGTCAGTGCCCGAACAGAATCTACCATATACAGTATGTGGAACAGGAGAAGATGATCAGTAGAGATAGTTGACAGAGGAGAGGAATGGAGATGAAAGCAGAGTAACTATGTAGTTGAGGGTGGTGGAATAAGGAGAGGAGTGCCTGGGAAGCTCAATCTGACACATTATTTTGCTCATTCACCTAAATGCATCAGCATCCTGTAAGTGTCCAGGGGCATATAGTTTCTGATCCAAAGTGTCCAAATGTTATGAAGTCATGACATTTTCTGCTTAACCTGTAAGACAGTTGGGTGACTGATGCTTTAGTTAGGGTTTGTTTGTCGTGAATATAAATGATTTTTTGAACTGGGCAGTGTTACAGCTTTCCAGGGGTTTTTCCAAGTACTTCTACCCAAAACTGTGTAAAGGAGTTGATAGACACCGATTCAAAAGTGTTTGATAAGTGATAGGGGAGAAATCTTCCAATGGGGTCACTAGGGGATTCCCTTAATTTACAGGGATTTTTTCTAATTTCCTCTCCCCAACAGAACACAGATGGCAAAAAAAAACCTGACAAGGATTATAACCCCCCCCTTACTCTATCCAAAATGAAAAAAAGGTTTGCCTATAGTTCTACTGTAATGTAAAACCTATTCTTAGACAATCTAATGTGTTTTTTTTTGCGATATTAGTTAGGCATACGTTCGGCTGGGTTTGTGTGTCCTCATGAGGAATGTGATAGGTTTTTAGTTGAGTAGATAGTGAGTTGTAGGTTGCTTCCAACTCTTGTAGTGCTCATGCACACAGAGCATTTGCTTTTCTTCTCTGAACGCCAGAACTCCTGGCAAGAGAAAAGCTGCTTAAAAAACTTGTGTAAAGCCATGTATTGTATACATGCATTTAGGCATGTCAAATGTTTGAGCATTAATGGATTTCATTGGCCAGAATATTAATTTATTCTGGCCATTGAAATGCATTAACGCTAATATGTGCCTAAACATGCCTAGCATTTAGGCATGTAAAAAAAAAAAATTCTACTCAAAAGCTCCTCTACGGAGTGCACTTGTGATGTTTTTTTTTTTATCAGCCTGTAAATACCTGTATGTGCATGGACACATCGGCTAACATAGGGGTGCTTTTACAGGCTGAAAAAAAAAAGACAAACGCTTGTAAAAGGCGGTTTTAAGCCCTGTGTGCGTGAGCCTTTATATGTTTGAGTCTTTCCTCTAATGGGAAGCCATTTGGAATATTTTTCTGCCAATAAATGTTTTGAGTGTTCCACAGGAATGGAGATGAGCTCATAGATTGTGAGTTCAAGTTAAACTATTATCTTATGTAATTTTGTTATTATTAACTAATTTAACTAATGAAGAAGTGATTCATTAGAAGACCAGTGTTTCTCACATGATTTTATGTATAAGAGAGTGAAAATGGGCTCCCGTCTGCATTGTGATGCGACAAGGGAACTGGTTAGATAATGCATGGCAAGACTGGTTGCAGTAGGTGGCATTGGGGTTGGCAGTGTCTTCTATTCATTACAAAACCCAGCATGAACTTTGAAGAAGACAGCAGTAAGCATAATAAGCATAATGTCCCCAATAGAACCATTATCGGCAACCTAGAAATGTATATTTGGTGATAGGATCCAAACCTAGGAGGTGGACTCTACAAAGAGAGCAGCTCTGGCCTTTCAGAGCTCACATTCTTAGGACAACAGGTTACTTATGGTAATAAGGTAGATAGCACAGCAAATTTAGGATATTGCAGGAATAAAAGCAATATAGGTACAGTGTGGTGTAAGCTGCTTCCATAGTCCATCATGCCACCAGATCAGAATGAAAGTTGTGTCCAGGGACGCTCCCAATAAGGAGTGTCCTGTATGGGTAAAACATGGTAGTATTATTATTATTATTATTATTATAATACAGAATTTATATATAGGCATCAGTTTGCTCAGCTCTTTACATATAACGGGAGAAAATACAGCAACAATACAGTTCAATACAAGAGGGTTAGGAGAGCCCTGCTCCTTGGAGCTTACAATCTAAGAGGGAATGTTAAGCTACATCTGCATAAACTAGCATAATTAAGTATTATGTCTAACCCATATTCATGAATGGCAGATGTGGCAACTACTGAAGTTCTCCTTGGAGCATTATCTTGGTGAAATGGCACCCCTTTAGTGAATTTTCCTGATCTGCCTGACCAAAGGTTGCCTTTAACAAACCTTCTCCCATACTTGAATTCTGCTCCACACTTCTTTAATGCATGAATGGGTACCTTCCCCTAAGAATGCCACCATAGATTCATGAATGTTTTTGGCTCCAGCCTTTTACCCTTTTAGGGTAAAAAATTAATAACTAAGCAGTTGGCTACTGGTCCTCACATCTTAATAAATGTTGAACCTACAACTCTCTCTTCATTCTGAGGCTGAGAACCTATGGGATAGCCCTCAAAACATGGATATCTCTAGCACTACACTGAAGATATGGAATGGTGGTCTGAAACTGTCTGCCTTTGAATTCTTTCCCCTAGAAATAGTATGGTGACTACCCAATACTGCCATATGTCTGATATCTATGGGTCTTGCATGAAAACATATTCATGTTAAGCTGAAACTGAGATAAGAGTTTGTGGTCTGCTGTGTGATAAATTTGACATTATATCATTTCCAGCATTCATTCACTTTTCATTTGCTAGTATCAGAATTGCCTTTCAACAAAAATGTAAAAATTGTATGTAACATTTATAATATTTTTCTGTAGCTGTAGAACAGCAATCTGTACCTGTTGCCTTTCCAGCTGTGAGGCCTAAAGAAAAGACAACAAGCTGTATCCCATCCTGCAGATATCAGCCAGCCCTCCCATCTTCCAGCCTTCCCAACCCTAAACTGCGAAACACCAAAATTCTCCCTGCTGCCAGACTCGTAACAGATGAAAAGAAGGCTGAGAAGCAGACTGCAAATCTCATGGACCGAGGCACGCAAACAAGAAAATGTGCAAAACCTGGGCAGATTAGACAGCGAAGCCTAATGCCAGGACCACAGATTCCACTACCATCCTCTAATGCACCTGGTGACCATGTTGGCGTGCAAACCAGGGACACCTCCCAAGCTTTGGAAATCACACAATATTTTTTTGAAGCAGTATCTACTCAAATGGAAAAATGGTATGAAAGAAAAATTGAAGAAGCCAAGTCGCAAGCAAACATGAAGGCTCAAGAAGATAAAGTCACTTTGCAACAGCATATACAGAGTTTGGAAGAAGAATTAATGAAGTTGAGGACTAAGTTACAGAAGGAAAGCTAGCAGCAGAGCCCCTTATGGATATGAGAGACAGCTACCATAAGATATCAGACTCAACAGTCTGAAGTTGCAACACAAAAAACTATTTGAGTCATTGGTGCATTAAACAACTGTGAAACTTAAGAAATCTATACAGAAAAAAGCATGTGCCATTCTTTAATATTGATGTTTCTGAATTGCATGAGCTTCCCAAGCAAGACACTGCTTTCTTGCATCTGTAGATCCTTTGACATTCAATATAATTGGATCAATGTGCCATAGGGCTACAGTTTACTGTGCTGTATATTTAATGCTCCAATGTATTGAACAAATGCATGTATAAAGCTACATTTACTAACTGGTACCTGATATGAGAATTACGGATTAAGCCTATTCTGTTAGTACTGTAGGCTGGCTGTGTCACATGTGCTTCTAAATGAACATATGTTCTCCCAATCCCTATCTAAAATGAACTGCAGTATTAAAGAATTTTTCAACTTTTACTTTACTGTCGAACTCCAGACAAGTGGCTAAATACAATGTCCTACCTGCTACAAATAATTTTATTCAGTCCCATAATCCAAACAACTCTGACAGACAGAATACCTAATGAGCTGACTCTTGAGCTTGAATTGCAGATATCTGAACCCAAAGACAAAAAAAAAAAAAAAAAAAAAATATATATATATATATATATATCCGTTTATTAGTCATTCAATGTGATGGCAGTATTCATTTTATTTTTCAAGTATATTTCTGTCTTACTTTCTCTTTAATGCAGGAAGTGTTATTGGCAGGATCACCAGGTGAAAATACATTTAGAAAAGGCTGAAAAAAGAAAACTAATGCAACTATCACATCTAACGACTGTTTGTTCTTGGGTTTAGATAAGCTTTAAGCATTACAGCTTGGGCCACCAACCTTCCCCCCTCTGACCTGCTGAGTGTACAGTGTAGTGGCAGCAGCACACAGTGAGAGTCACCCTTGCTTTTCCCTCCTATAAGCATTTTCACAAATTTATACTGACAGCTCTGTGTTTTGGCCCCTAGTGCCTTCCTTAACTCCGTCTGTTTTGCCATGAGTTACAGGAAGCTGATATAAATACAGTTTCAGATACTTGTACTACTTATTTAAAGTACACAAAAAGAACAGGTATACAGATTACAGTTTCTTACTTTACTCTGACTTTCCAGATCTGATTTGGTTTCAGTACTTCAAGATGCTGACCTGAAACCTGCAGACAGCCAAGATACTAACATTTTCAGAAGAAGGTCAGCAATCCCAGCCCCATATTTCTCTCACTACAGGTTTCCTTTCAGTTTGCTGTGCCAAGCACACATGACATCGGTGTGAAAAAAAATTCAGCAGAACTAACATATAAACCATAAACTGTATTTGGGTTCTATAAGCATGAATATGCCTGCTTTATTGACAATATAGTAAACTCAGTAATGCATCTGAAAAAACTGAGTCAAGGTTGTGTTTATTGTTACTATCAGTTATTTTTTTCAATTACTATGCCAGCCTGTTATTAATATGCAGTCAATTAAATTACTTCTGTGCCATTCACGTGATATAAATGGGCTTAATCATATGTGAAAGAATTTTTTATAATGTTTAGCATTATCAAACTGGAAATAACTTGCTCAAGCAAGTGACTTGCTTTTCAAGTCAAGAAATTAAATTTTAAGAGCGAACATTATATTATTATTTATATTATTATTATATTATATTTACATAAGCCAACAGTTTGCAGAGCACTTTATAATATAAAGGAAGACAGTACAGTTACAATACAAGAGAGATAAGAGGGCCCTGCTTTATATGAGCTTACAATCTAACAGAATGACTGACTTAATGTGGAACTTCGCTCTAAATCAACATTGACTATTTTGAATCCTTATGCTGCTACCATTCGTATATAGATAGGAAAGTATATCATATTTACTTGTTTTAAACATTTTATTTCACATTTCTTCAGTTACTTCCTGCTTCCAGACCTAGGCAAATGATGTCATACATCCCAGGAGTCTTCGGGAGGGGAGGAGGGATTTTCTCAGCTTAGGCATGCCTGCAGGAGGGTGTGCTTAGCTAAGTGCAGATGGATTCCAGGAAGTAAATACTACATGAATCAGCTTCCCTTATTGAAGATGGCCATAGTCAGAGATGCTAGGGGGTGTTTTTCAATGTGATTTCTCAGCATGGAGACATGGATGGATGGTGGAGTTTACTTTTGATATAAAAGATTAGTTAAATCATGTTTTTGGTTTGTGGTGCTCAGATACAGTGTAGTTCTGCTTTAAGGTGCCTACAAGCAAAAATACAAGAAAAAATATTTAAAGGACAACTGTACATTAGTTATAATTTGTCCTTCAAGACATGCCCCACCTTCCTGAGTTCAGCCCATCTGGTCTAGTTCTTACCTCTATCTCTGTTCTAGCAATCTATACTTTGCAGTTGGGGCATGAAGAGGACCTGGTCTTTTAATATGACCAGATGCTTAGACTTTAAAGATGTGCAATCATTCCCCATTCTGACTAAGTCCAGGTATTCTATCACTTTAAATAGTTTCTCTGAGCAAGTTTGGCCCAAACAAACTATTTCCTTTTTTAAGCGATGTAGCTGGTGTGAGTGCTTTATCACAGCCTTATTCAACCAGGGTGTCCAGGCACCCTGGGGTGCCTTTAGGTTTCTTCAGGGGTGCCTTGGAAAAATGCCTAAAAATGTTATACAAGCCAGCAGGTGGATCAAACTTGTCTTTTAATTACACAAAGCCATAGGTTTTCATTGAGCACCATTACAACTTTCTAGCCGCTAACGACATAAAAAATGTCATTTGATAAGGAGGATATTAGGCACCTGCACACATCCTTGCTTGCCCCTCTACATCAGTACTGGGGTCACATTAGCTGAATGAGGGAGAGAAACTGAGGGAGAAGAGAAACAATGGAATTACTAGTCAGTACCAGTGTGCAAAGGTGTATTTGCTTTGAAAGAATAAATCACCTCTGACGTTGGGTGTCCCACGTGTGCAGATGTAGCTGCATTCTGTAAAACTATTAGTTTCGTTTTTTACATTTTGTTATGGGTGACTCAAGACTGTACAGAATTTTAAAGGGTGCCTCAAGATTGTGCAGAATATTAAAGGGCGCCTTGTAGTGGTGCACCGAAATGAAAATTCTGGTGCAGAAACCGAAAATTCAAAATGCACTTGGCCAAAAACCGAAACTGAAATGCGCAGTTTTTAAAAATGAATATATATTTTTTGGAAAAAAAAATACACTTTGATTAAAAAAAACAATATATACCCCAATTGTTTTGTAAAATATGTAAGAGGATGTTACAGTGAGTAAATAGATAATACATTTGCGCACGCTCGTGGAATGGCATGAAACTGCGGTACTTAAAAATCTCCATGGGTGATGCTTTAAAAATTTCTACAGGTTAGCAGTATAAAGTTACAGAGGGGGTTTAGTGCTAGAATTATTGCTCTTGCTCTGACGTTCGTGGCGATACCTCACGTGTGGTTTGAATACCATTTACATGTGTGGGCATGGCCTACGTATGCGTTTACCACTATGAGCGAGCACGGGGGGACGGGGGGCACTTTAAACTTTAAAAAAAAAATTTATTTTATGTTTTTTTTTGTTTTGTTTTTTTTGCACTGTTCCTTTTAAAAAATTTGTAGCACAAATTCTTAGCACAAGAAATGCATGCATCCCTTGTGATAGAAATAATTAGTGACAGGTCCTCTTTATGGAGAGATATGGGGTCAATAAGACCCCACATCTCTCCTCTGCAATGTACAGCATTAGATCAAAAACAAGCATTGATCTAGTGCTTTAAAAAAAATAAAAATAAAAATGGAGGAATCGGAAGTGACATCGCTCCTGTCCTCCAAGGGCATAGAGATGTGTGGCGACCATCTTTCCTTCACTCATCTCTATGCCCAGCGCCGGGATCGATGGTTTCTCAGGTAAGACTGAACTACCGAGCGGCGGGTGGGCGGCTTTGAGGGGCGGGGTTTTTTTCGGCATCTGTATCGGTGCTTTTTTTCATTTCGGCCAACAGCTGAAAGCGGTGTTTTTGGCCGAAACATTTCGGTGCATCCCTAGCATCTTGACTGAAAAAAGGCTGTTTTATCATATACTGTATGTACAGTGCTCAGCATAAATGAATACACCACCTATAGATTTGGCAGAAAACCTTTACTTTCCTTTCAATATCAACATTTTCTATGCAACAATATACTACAAAATACTCCTACAAATGCGGGCCATTGATTGCAAACAAGATTTGTTAATTTGCACACACAAAAAATGTTTTTTTAAGTAACAAATTCATTCAAGACTGTTTTGCAAAAATGAATACACCCCAATGAAAGTCTTAAGAGCAAAGCTAAATTTTAGACAATAAATTCCTAATTTACAAGAATTCAACCACAGGTGATTCTAATTATTCAGCAGACAGTTGATTATAAAAGGGCGTTACTTAACAAAGAAAACCCCTTCCCATTTCATGCTATCAGCAATGGCACCATATGGAAGAGTAATGTCACAAGGCCTGAGAAAGAAAATAATTTCTTTACACAAAAAGGTGAAGGCTACAAGAAGATCAGCAAAGCTTTACTTATCAGTCAGAATACTGTAGCAAAAGTGATACAAATTTTAACAAAGGTGGAACTGCAACCATCTCACAGAGACATCCAGGCTGTCCACGGAAGTTAACACCTCAACAGGAGCATCTTCTGATGAGAAGGGTTGAAGTAGATCACCATGCAAGTTCACTGCAGTTAACTAAAAAAGTAGAAAGCCAAACTGGGGTGATTGTTTCCCGTGACACAATATGGCGTACACTGCAGAGGAATGGCATGTATGGGTGTCATTCACGAAGGACGCCTCTCCTAAAGCCCATGCACAAATAAGCCCACCTAGAATTTGCCAGGGCCCATGTTCATAAAGAAGACTACTGGGACTCTGTACTTTGGAGTGATGAAACCAAGATAAATGTTTTTGGAACTGATG